ACAGGCTGCTGTTAGCTTATGGCTAGCCAGTGCATTCTTCACCTTGGAGCAGAACAAGGTGATTTTGACTGTAGAATTTTGGAGCGATTCGAAAGATGATGCAGAGGAGCGCATAGCTTGAGCTGCGTTTGCACGTACTTAGCCCTCCATAACAACCATCAAAAGTTAAATACAACCGAACTCTATGTGACAAATTTACCGCACTGCATTGAAAAACAAAACAAAAAGCGAAGGTCACTGTAAATGTGCAGTTTGAACACTGAATGGTGATGCTTATGCATACCACTAGAGGGGGCCCCTCACCACACCGAGAATCGCTGTATGAATTCCTGACATTTGAAGTGCACAACTAGATTAGAAAATTAAAAAAAAAAAAAAAACTTATTTGAGAAGAGAAAGCTAATTAGGGAACTTTAAAAAAAAAATTTTTAGCACAAAATGATTCCCCAACTACTGCCAATGTTGTCAATGCCAGAGGACAGCTGTGATGGCGATTATGATTGAGTAATGCTAAAAAAATATATAATAATTTTAGTGCATTTTAGGTCTATTCTGATGAGTACTGCGGACCTCCAGAGTTTGGTGTTAGCAAGCCAGGCGACAACAAGCGACATCCACCACGGGGCACTTACCCGGTGACCAGCCTGGTTGATTGGAGACACGCAAGCGGGATGGAAGAAGGCAATATGTGCGTGGATAGAATGACATAAGGAAGGAGTCATAAAAAAAAAAAAAAAAAAAAAACAACACACAAAAAGGTTTGAAAGGGGTTGGATCAAGAGAGAAAAAGTTGTGTAGAAGGAAAAAAAATAGGGGTGGTAACTGAAATTAGAAATCAAACGTGAATGGACAGATTAATACAAAGCAAAATAAATGAAATTGAAAACGTGATGTGATTCTTTCGGTTGTTAATAGTTAGTGATCGTTGTAGCGGTTCGCAAACAAGTGGAACATAAGCCATTCGAATCAAATAATCATCAGGGGAAAATGTAAAATCGATAAAACAGACCTTTTGATTAAGTACACGCCATACAGTGCCATACATTTTTAATTCGTATTATTTCTACTTCCTACTCAATCCTATTCATATGAATAAAAACAAAAAATGAATAGGTTTCAATCAACCCGAATGAACAAATTGTCAGGCCATACTTTGCCCGGCACTCACACGTGACAGTTGAACATGCTCAAGCAAAATGAGCGAGCAGTTCAAGAGCGAGTCCGCGCATACGTGAAGGAAGCGGTGACGTGACGTCACTCTGAAGTCACGTCTGTTAGCTTGTTAGCACGGCGAGCTAACCACTTCGCCGACGGGGAGGAAACAAGAAGTCGCGTTAGCGTCAATGTTGCGCCGCGCATACGATCCGTTGATTGAAATCCCATCACAGAGAAAGGCACGGTGGCTCAATTTAACACCTAAAAGTGCGTTTCTGTCATTCTGTCTGAAAAGTCTGTGCCACCAAAGTGCAGAAACTGTCATGTGACCACCGAGCTGAAGCTTCACTAAGAAAAAAAAGAAGAGTCACATCATTTCGCACCGCCGAAATCACAATGTCGCCCGCACGTCTGCCACCAAACAACGTGCAGCGAATGACGCTCTAAAATCGCAGCGTAAGTCGGCGAAAAGGTTTCTTTTCTGCAAGATTACTTCCCACTTACCATCTTCAATTCCGCTGTTGTGCTATGTTTCGGAAGTTTTTTTAACTGATTTTATTAAATAATTGGTCAACCAATTTCATAAGTATGAGCGTGACTAACGGTACAATTTTACATGTCATGAATTTTGGTTTACGTCAAATATGTCATTTATCCAATTAAAGGTGTACATAGAGTTAGTGTAGCTATCAAAAACAAGTTTTATTTTAAGGTATAAAATGGCCTGACACCACTTTGCATTTCCTGTTCAGAAATAATGCTTTATAATCAAATTGAAGCACATCCACGTTACCATAAACACTACTTGGAAAAAATGAAACTTGGTGTTGATTTTATGAGTAAAGACAAAACAATAGTAGAGTGAAGTCCTTTATTTTGTCCGACGTGGAAAGAAAGAAATGGAGAAGGAAGCTAAATTAGCACGTGAAAGAAATGTTTGTATTCAGTACAATGACTAAACTCCCAACACAAGTGAGGGGTGAAAAAAAAAATATGAACAATATATTACAGGGCTGACACTGCCCCCTAGCGGAAAGGAATGGAACATCTGGTCCTGCTTCTTAAGACTTTTTGTACTCGATTCTTTCCACCTTGACGTCGTCTCCGATCAGCTGGTAGACATACGTCACCACCGTGGACGCCTGGATGTCCATAAGCACGAATGACGGGATTATATTGCTACAAAAAGAGGCGACAACAAAAACCATGATCACGCTTCCCCAAACCGACAAGACAAACCTCTCGGCGGTACCTTTCTAGCGCGCTGTAGGCTCCGGTGGCGGACCCGGGATTGATGTAGAACTTGTTCTCGTTCTCAAAGGCCTCAAACTTGTGCGTGTGTCCCGAGATGAGGATGTCCACGTCCAGCTGCCTCTGCAGCAGCGCCAGGCTGGCCATGTCCCCCCACGGGATCACCTGGTGGCCGTGGATCAGGCCGATCTTGAACTGGCCCACCGTCACCACCTTCTGCTCCGGGTAGTTCAGGTTCTGAAAGATAGGCGCAAAACCCTGCTCGGAAGGTCCTCCCGCCTCTGGGGAAGTGTTTATTTTGCCTGCCCCTTGCACCAAGAACCCAGTGCACTTTCACACACAGTTAGGCTTGACTGTCTTCCAAGAAGTTCGGGGTGTGGTTTGGCGTGGGTGTGGAAAGGCAGAGTGAAAGGAGCTTCAGATACCACCCCGAAAATTTGTGAGCGCAACCGAGTCGGTACCATTCACACAGCACCGTGCTGCGGTTACACCAGCCTCGGAACAGCCAGTGTCGACAATTCGCCTTTGGAATTGTGAGGGGCAGCCAACCTTGCTACGACGCTGTACCCACCTCGTCAAAGTCCCCACGCACGATGTGGACATCCCCGGCGAGTGTCTTCAGGTAGTCATAGCTCTCCTTGGTGCACAGATTCCCCGTGCAGAGGATGTGTTGGATCTTTCCAGGCACCAGAAGCTTCTTGAACTTGGCTGGCAGGGTGTTGCACCGGTGCGGAATGTGCAGGTCGCCGAGCACCAGGACCAACTGCGCGAAAAGGAGATGGCTCAGATGGCGTTTGGGGGGGGGGGGGGGGACGAGTGTCTTCAGGTAGTCATAGCTCTCCTTGGTGCACAGATTCCCCGTGCAGAGGATGTGTTGGATCTTTCCAGGCACCAGAAGCTTCTTGAACTTGGCTGGCAGGGTGTTGCACCGGTGCGGAATGTGCAGGTCGCCGAGCACCAGGACCAACTGCGCGAAAAGGAGATGGCTCAGATGGCGTTTGGGGGGGGGGGGGGGAAAACACAGGGGGGGCTGAAGGCC